GGCTGTAAGCTTGAGAGAGGGGGAGTTGCCATCGCCAGACTGACTTTCACTCACGCGGCAGTTGCTTGAAGAGGCTCAAGGTAGAATGGACGGACAGGATAAGACGAGAGGTTTCGTTGTTTGAGTACGAGGAGAAAAGAAACAGGAAGAAGGGGATGCGGATGGCTTGAAGTACTAGCAGTCAGAGCAGCCAGATGATACCTAGTCCGGAGGCTGTCGGCGGGGACGTAGGTTCAACCGCGGGGAGAATTGCGACCTTCTCCCACCTCATCCCCATCCACGTATGAGACCACCATCATCATTGGATGGAGGGGCAAAAAGAGGGGCAACTTGGGGGGTAGCAGCGCAGCGCCAGTGATGCGCAGAATACCTTTAGGTACGCGTGGTATGGTATGGTGCGGTACAGCTAAGAGCCTAAGGTAGACAGACGGGCAGGCAGTGCAGTCGATGAACAGAGAGCCGCCGCACCCAGCAAGATCCCGTGCGAGTCCTGCGCGCTGTGTGTCTCGGGACCTGGGCATGCGAGGTAACAAAGAGCTTGTACACTGCCGCAAATCTACCACCCAGAACTAGGCGAGCCGGCTGTCGCAGATACCTCGTCGCGCACCAAACAAAGACGTCGTGGCTTGGTGCCGCTGCTGCGACAAAACCCCCCCAGTGAGACAACCTACCTAGCCCGGCCAAGCAGGAGGAGCCATTCCACTCCACCAAAAACAGCTTTCCCATGCTGGGGGGAATTCGGCAGCAAGGCAGAGAAAGCCAGATGCAACGCCCACACCCCCCCCCCCGGGCCAATCAACCGCTCGCCAGGCACTTCCTTCCTGCCAGCAGTCCGTCCCGTCTGGTGCATGTGAGAGCGGCATGCATCGAGAGAAGCTGGTGCCGCCCGTCCCCGTCAACTCCCGGAACTCAGCCAATGCCTTCCGATGACTTCCTGCTTATGGCGGGTTGACGATCCCGACACAGGGGAAGCTGTCCTATGTATAGCCAAAACTCGGGTGCGGGAGAAACAAGTGTCTCCATCGCCGGTTCCAATGTTTCCAAGCACCTCCAGACCCAAACACAGCTCCGTGTCCAGGCAGGTCCGGTCCCTACCTACCTAGGTACCTACCTTATTGAAGCTGTGACTTCCATTGCATCATTTGACGACCAACAATGTTGAGACAGACTCGAGCTCGGGACCTTGCATTTGGACATGTCTGGCCGTGGGGCATTTTACCACAGAATAACTAAAACCGCATTCGCTATTAATATCCGCTGGCGGGCTTCAGGTAATTATTACCTATTTTGCAGACCGCGGGGTTCCTAACTACGTCCACAAGTACGTACCGTAGACCCCCACCATGTCATGAAGGACTCCTTGAGAAACGGGATCCCGTGCACCATGGTCAAAGTCGGCGAAGACTTACTCCGGTGATTTTCCTAGCTCCAGTGTAGACATGCCGTATCTCATCCGCAATCCACCGCGAATTGACGAGCCGGGCATTTTGTCGTCACTGGAATCGGCGACGAAAGCCGAAAGACCCGCCAACTTTCCGGCGTATGCCCGTTATCCCGAGGTTGAGCTGTAAACCACTCCCTCATGTTGTCGGGCAACGCCGGGTGACGACCGACAGACCGGACTCACAATCATCCAAGCCAGCGGCCAAGCTGTCGCCAGCCTCCCTTATGCATTCACTCTGACATCTTTCGTAACCGCGGTCCGTCCACTATCAGCTAGATCATTACCGACTGCCCCTCTGGGACAGACAACTCACATGCGCACGAATATCGTTCACGATCGACGACCATCACCATCGTTGTACAGAATTTGTTGGAGCAATTGCAACCCAGTCCAGTCATTGTTTTGGCCTTGACTCAAGCTTTTGATTTGTTCGCCCGTGTCTTCAGAGGTATTTCTATTTGCTCGACATAACGCCCAAACAAAGTCGTTCCCGTCCACTCAAACAAGCAATTTATGCCTCGGTCTTCTCGGCGGCCTTCTTGGCCTTGACACCACGGGGCTTCTTCTCAGCTGCCTCGGGCTTGACGGGCTTCTGGGCGCGGCGGATGGCAGAGACGCGCTGGACGGCGGCCTCACGGAGATCGGCACGGTAGCCACCATTGGCGGCCTGGAGGGCGACGGCCTTGTAGGTCCTGTAGGTCACATCGTCAATACCTTCAGCTTCTCGTGCAGCTTCCATCCGGAGCCGTGTCGCTGAGGTTCAGAAACCACTCACTTGCGTGCCGACTTGTTGCCGCCGTAGGTGACCTCAGTGGTGCCCTGGGCAGGCTTGTTGGCGTTCTTCTGGTTCTTGCTGATGACCTTGACACCACCCTTCTCGTTAGGGACAACACCGATCGCCTGCGCCGCAATCTGTCAGTCAATGTATTCCTCGATCGACCAATCCATGGTCGTCGCCGCATCGTTCTCGTTCTGGGAATTCGGTGCTTCGATTACAGCGGGAAAGTGTGTACCTTGTCGTTGACGAAACCAGCGTACTGCACCGTGTGTTAGCCAAATACCGCCCACAACAGAGCCTATCGCGGAGCTAGTATGACGTACCTTGCGAGAGTGCTTGTTCACCAGGTTCAGGGGGTCGCGGGACAGCTGGAGGCCGCCAGCGTCGTTGCGGTTGACCAGGTAGGCATTCTGGTTGCCTGTATATCGCCAACGAGACGAAAATGGTGAGCAAAATGCTTGCAAGGGGGAAAACCCCCCCGTGGTGTCGTCGTCCCGTTTTCCGTTCAGACGACGGGGTGTCGAGATTGCAACTTACGGACAACCTCCCAGATGAGGTCAGCGGAAACGTTGGGCAGAGCGGCGGCCATTTTGACTGATTTTCGAGGATCACGGAATGGTTGATGAACACCTTCAGCTTCTTGCTCTACGGCCGACGCATGAGGTAAATTCGAGTGTGTGGGCAATCGCAAAACCGGTCGCTTAGCTTTCAGTTTACAGACTAGCGCCAGAAAAGACCCTCATTTTACGACCGAGCCACCCGATCCGGGCAAAGCCCTGCCAAATGGGACAGCTCGGATGTGGCTAGTGATGGCGGTGCAACGCTGCAGTCAGCGGGCTGGGCTCTGTCTAGGAAGTGTACTAGTTGTAACTTCACTTCGGGTTTTGAGATGCTAGCTACCTGTGCTAACCGTACACCTTGTTAGTGATTCCAAGTCGTCATCCTTTTCATTACATCTTGTAGCCCACGATCCAGCTTCTCCTTATCTGCATTCCTAGCTCCCGTTGTCTGGCATCTGAACATACGGTTCATCAACTGCTCCACACGACATTGGTGTTAGTTATTGATGATTCAATACGCGTCATACTCAAGTCGCCATTTCTACAACGTATTTTGCACAACTTTCATGACTTTTATCATTCGTTTACTCCCGTGGCGATCACCAAAAGCCGGCACTTTTTAGGCGCGAAGAGGTAGGTTGAAAGTAACGGCGGGGTCGGTACTGGGACCATGATTGACATAGAGCTCGATACAGATGACTCGATGGTACTCGCACAGGCATATCGATAGTGAAGCAGAAGATATAAAACTCATGTTGCATGTGCTTTCAACTAGTGCGGACAACCCTGAAAACTTGTGAAGTCCACGATGACAACCCAGAGAACTATACCTCGAGAGGAGGGAAAACAACCAGGCCTGCTCGGTGGCAACACATGTAAAATGGAACTACTCGCAAGACGGCATGACTGGCCATTCCATTGATGTAAAGTGCCGCTGTGTCCTGGTCAAATACCGAAGTGCAGCAGCCGGGTCGTAGTCGGAGGCTGCCCAACTCAGGCTGGGGTAGCTCGCGAATGCATTACTGGTAAGAAAAGAGTGCCAGGTCTCCCAGCTCAGCACTAGTATCCGCGATTATGCGAACAGGGCGATTGGGTCTCACGCAAATTGACTTTTGCGTCAGTCGCATGTCCATCACGGACGGTGCAGCAACATTTGATATTGTACGGTCAGTTTGCGGCGCCTCCTCCTCCGAGATACACTACCCTTAGACACAGATGGTCGGCCTTGGGGAAAGCTATCGGAACGCAGCTGTCCTGTGGTAAGATGGGAGTGAATAACTAGGAGGGCTTCGTCAAGAGACATCATCGTTTCTGGCCAAACTGAAACTATGACCCAGCGATCTGGCTTGTCCCCACGAGCCTGCCTTAGCAATGGAACCGCAAGGCAGGCCCAGAGCTTCCCGCCGCCGGGTGCGCATCATCCCCCGACCAAGGGAACCCGGGACCCCGGGACCCCGAGAGGGGCATTTCGCCATGCACTTCACGTGACGTACCTACGCAGGTGGAAGGACGTGTCAGCGCATGCCTTCGCGCGCCTGTGGACTGCGCCTGCGTCCTTACGTACCTCCCTGGCATTCTAAGTGGGGCCCAGCAGACATTCAGCAGCCCGCCTGCGCGGTGACAGAAACTCGCTGAGGCTGCCTGAGAGCTCTCTCGCCTTTCCGAGGCCATTGGATCAGACGGAATGCACGGGGTGGTAACAGCCCCGAGAGCCCAGGAACACTCGCTGACTGGGGAAAGGGCCCGAGAGTTTACCTCACCTCACACCCATCCTGTCGTCGCACATTGCCCAAACCTTCCCCTTCCTCATTCTTCACCTTAACAAGCTTCACCGATCCTACAGTGTAGCAGGAGTCTCCGGAATCCCCGCGCCTGTATAGGGCCCGACATGCTTGCTTGAACTCACGAAACGGCAGGCTTTCTCGTCGTTTCGCATATATATATTTTTTCCGTTCCATGATACCTCCCGAAGCCTGTTTCCTCTGTGTACTTCGACTTAACTCCTTTCACTCTCACGCAGTGCGAACCTCACAACATTTCCTTGATCGCGTACACATCCGCCAGTGTGCTGTCGAACTCCCGAACCCAACGGGGCTGGTGCCTTGGTCGCTGAAATCTACCTCATTACGCGCCCGCTGTCGCCTGCACCCTGACTTAACGATCCTCCGACACCCCCGCAACACACTTCTCAAGCGACGCCGAACAACCGATCGACACCATGTCCTACCTCCTCTATTCGGTATCCGTTTTCGCCCTCGTCATCGCGACGGTCCTCTACCTCACCCGCACCCACTGGCAGCCTTTCCTCCCGAACCTGCCGATCCCGGGTCGCGATTACATCTACTCCCGCCTGCCTTCAAGTTTCACTGGCGACATGGAGGTGGGCCTCTCGAGCTCGACCTTCGACCTCAGCGGCAACGTTGAGTCTGGCGACAGCCGCGCAGGCCTCGATGATCGGAGCAAGGCTGAAATTCTCAAGATCATGAAGAAGCGCCGAATGAGGTTCGACGAGGCTCGTAGGGTGTATATGGAGAACCGCTTTAAGGCCAACGGCATCGGTCCTGACGGCCGGCCCCTCGACCCGAAGGCCGTCACCTTCAGCTAAGATCATGGATGACAGATGATTTGAGGCATCCAAGCATACAAAAGCGTCATGAAATAATATCTCTTTCGTAAGAGAAACCACAACGACTGCAAATCCTTGAAGGAGAAGAGCTGTCCTCGCGCCCGCCGACGCAAGGAAGCCACCTTCAACTACGCCATACTGCCACTTATCACAATATGGTCTGCTATGAAGCGACTACAATAACCCACCCAACACTTCGTCTCCGACAAAACTTATCTCCTTGGTTCATTGGCGTGCTTCACATATATCCTGCTGGCGTGGAGAATTCTGGAGTTGGGAGTGTGCTTTCCTCTGTAGGATTGGGAGTTCTTCTGTTAAAGCTCAAGGGGCGGACGCGATGCTTTACATCAACCGTTCCGAGGGTTTCTTTTCTATGTGAGGTTGGTTCGCTTCCAGCATTACATACGGAGCAGCCGATAATCAGGCTTTCAATATAACATGCTTTTTTTTTTCTCTCCTTCTTTAAAAAAAATTAAAATCTCATGCTGGTTAACGTCCCCAAACTGGTTTACCGTGCCAGTGCATGTCACCACCACTTTAACCCTGACTCCTCATAATTCAATCTCTGAAATGTATCCAGAACCATTTATGGTAGGGACTGGACCGTGCCACTAGATATTATTGTACTTGCAACTCGTCTGAGCATACGAGATGCCAGACCGTCGCGGGCGCACTTCCCCATGTTCAGTCATTTCATCATCCTCATCCACCTTTTCCCCTCATCATGCAAAAGTGCTGAGGTTCATATGTACAGTCGAAAGTCTGGCAAGGTCCAGGTATTACAAGCGTTTATAATGCAGTCGTAGGCAGCCGTTGCCAGCGCCGGATGAAGTGTGTTGGCCGTTTTTCGTGACAAAAGCCTGCCACGTTCAAGAGCATCTTCACTCCTAGTTTTTCTTCTTTTGGTCGACGGACGCACCATACTGGCGGTCATCGTCTCCCTCGACCTCCTTCTGGATCTTTTCCATGTCCTTGATGCCGGACTTCCAAGTCTCTTCGGACATCTTGGTCTGCTTGTTGAACCATGCGAGGTCGGGCTTGCGGTAGCTGCCGCCAAGACGATCCCACAGCGTGGTGAACTGGCCGTAGTTATAGCTGTGAACACCTTGTTAGCAACTTTAACTGACCTCGCTAAATGGTTTGAGAACTTACTTGAAGTAAAGGTGGTGGGCAGTGTGGCAGGCAGAACCGTTAATAATCGGGTTGTCGGTTATGTACTCGCCGTCGTGAATGAGAATGGTCCAGAAGTTGATGAACATGAACAGAGCTACATAGGCCATCTTCTGCAGGGGAAACAGCATAGGATAAACGTGATAGGGGATGGACTGTGCAAAACCATCGAGGGGGTGGAAAGCGTGAGAGGCGTAGGGGGATGGCATGATCCACTTGTGGTGAGGCTTGTGAAGGTGCTTGTAGACGGAAGGCAGATGCAGCCAGCGGTGAATCCAGTAGATGCAGAGATCGGTAAAGAGGATGAAGAGCGGAAACTGGGCCCAATCGTACCAACGGCCGGGTCCCTCCTCAGTGGTGTCGTAGAGCTTGCAAAAGCCGCGAACCTCAGCGAGGAAGGTGATGGCGGTGCAGAGAGACATGATGGGCATGGCCTTGTTAGCTTGCTTCATCTCAAGCCACACCTGGTTCTTGAGGAACTTGGGGTGGTTGAAGGTCTTCTTGTCAAAGATGAAAATGTATGAGAGGGTGGCGAAGACGAAGTAGTTGAGCAGTCCGAAGATCCTGGGAACCTTGTTGTTAGCGATCGGACGAGACGAGTCAGGAGGGTAGTTTCGACATACCAGGTGACGAGGAAGAGCGAAGTAAACTGGCGATACATGTTGTCTCTTGGCCAGGCGCTCATATAGGCGGCCTCGGAGGGCTCGAGATGAAGCCAGTGAGTCGCGGGCTTATACTGCCATGTCGAGAGCGGTTGCGCCGTGGCGTTGGCAGCGGTGTGGGGGAAGTCATAAGGGGCTGCGCTGGCGGGCAGCAAGGAAGCGTAGATCCTGTCGCCGACAAAGGTGTCGACGACCTCGAGAACGATATCCATGGCGAGGTCGGATGCGGAAGAGAGGTCTCTGAAGGGGTTTACGACCAGCTGCCGATGTTTTGGTGACGACAGAGAGAGGAAAAGGAGGAAAGGTGCTGCGGAAGGGAGCGGCGCGAAACGATTTTGTAAGTGTTAGGCGAGTTGCAGCGCAACAAGTCGCGGTAGGTCAAGGCGAGACAGGCAGGCGAGATGCTGGGGGGCAGCTCGGGAATATCGTTGGCTCCGAGAGATCTTATCGGACGTTTTGGTGAAAAAAATTCTGGGGCCACAAGAGGGGAGCAATTTGCCTCTAAATGGGACCGCCAGGTTGAGCGTGGTGGGAAGCAGCCAGGGGCGGGATCGGCGGTGTCTGCACTGCGGCAGCAGCAGGCAAGGATATTGCTGTAAGTCGGCAGTAGCGTCGCAACAGACGGGCTTTCGACGGGCTTTTGGCGTGCCCGAGATGGATGGCGACGGATGAGGACGAGGCAGAAGAAGAGGATGCTGTGATAACGGAGAGGTCCGCGATTCCTCCAAAGAAGTCTTAAGTGACAGCCCAGTGACAACGCGAAAGCAGTGACAGCGGCAACCCAAGGCCAAGCAAGCTGTTCTTGTCCAGAGGGATGGGGATGGAACTCAGGTGCCCTCTATCTGGTAAAGTATGATGTCTGGCCTGCGCAAGGTACAGAAACTACTTTTAAAGTAACCTAAGGGTCCCGGGCCTCGAGACAGGCAGCCACCGACCCTTGCGTTTCCGTAAGGGTTCTGTCTGTACGAACACAGGGTTGGGAGGATCCGTAAGGTTTGACGACAGGTGAGATGACAATTGAATGCGAGATGCGGAAAGGAGGAATGAGATGGTTGCTTAACTCACGACCACACAACGCTGCACTAGAGGGAGGCAGGACGGCAGAGCTGGATGTGGCGGGAAGAGCTTGTCTTTTTATTGACACAGCCTGGAGATTCCCGCACGCAGCCCGCACACCGACTCGCCCTCACCATCATCACACGACGCTGCCTGAGGGCAATCTTGCAATGGGATGTTTCTCTTTTGCTCCAGCTACTCTTGGGCGGCACTTTGGCCTTGAATGGCATGATCCAACTCATGGACTTCCCGGCCCGGGAAATGGATCTTGTCCCTTTGGGTGAGGTTCGACGTGATGGAGGGACTGGCGCCCAGCCATTGACGCCTCTGATTGGCCGCTGCCCCTGGACGCTACACTTGCCGTGCTGCGGTCCCTTAGGGTGCTGACCCAACAATCACTCACCTCACACATGGAAGTTCCTTAGATTCCCGCTGTCGACGGCCGCCTGTCGTTTCGTATTCGGATCCTGTTCCCACTGACCAAAGTACTCCTCCAACATCTCGCCCGTACCGTGCTGCCTGCAAACTGCTACGCCGCTACTCTTTCACAGGCCGTCCTAATGAATGACATCTCGCAGCGATCTCTGCATCTCGCCCTCCTCCACGTACTGTGCGCAGTAGCGTCCACCAATGATCGAGCCACCACCACGCCGGACGCTGTCAGTCACAACCCGTTTGGCCACAGCCTCCATAACTTCTCGAAGCACGTCGTCGTACACACCGACTCCCACTCCCTTGACGCATTATTCCACTGTCCCAGTCCTCCGCTCTTCCGGCTCCAGCGCTGCGCGGAGCGTCGGGCACTTCGGCCCTAAGCAATTGGGCCGGATGCCAACGGCCATGGACCATGCAGCTCATCCGCAGTAGGGAGTGACGTGACTTTTCTGCTTCGGAAGTCGTGGTTACCGGCCACTAGATCCACTTGATGCCGCTAGACCGACTTTGGCCATCATTTTCTGAGCGCTGACTTGCAGGCATGATCAACGTACGGATACGAAAGCCATATGACGATGCACTTTTACCCCTTTGCTGTCCCCGCGTTACCCTGAATTGATGACAGACAGTGCACTCACTGTTTTTTCTCGGCCCAAACCCTCTCGGTCGGACATTGCGGAGATTTCCCACTCACGCCCACGGCACGCGATAGCAATAAACCTGATAAACCTGGTGTTGGTTCCCTTTCACCTTGGCGGGGGTGTCTTCCCATGGCAACCCTGCATTGCTGCGCTGATCTTGGAACCTGCGCCTCCCAGCGAGTCGGCACACACCGCAAGCGACGTCTAGAACGTTTCCAAAGGCTGTTGAAACGAGCCATGTTTGGTCGCCTATCTCTGCCAGCCTTGACCGTCTGCCTCTGACCCAGTGGCTTTTGTTCAATTCATGATCCCTAACCCACGAAAAACTTGTCCTTACACGGTAGACGTATCCCATCGCTGTGTTCGTGACTTGATCGAACCTGTGGCCGAGTGTTACTCGCGTTCACTGGGAAATCTCGGTGGAAATTCCTAGGGATCTCCCGGTAGTAATCACAGTCGTAGACGGTCGATCTTCGCGACAGGTGTCTTCGATGTCGCATGATGCCCGTGACTCGATTGCTGAGGTCGTTTAGCACAGCAAACCCCGGACTGGGTCTACAAACACCGCAAGAGCGTCCACCCTGCATGAGCCTCAGAGTACTACGAAGTAGTGCACCACCAGAAAATAGCTCGCGATCAACTACAAGGGAAAGGAACATGAATTGTATGCAGCCGCGCGTAGTCACCATCATCATAATTGATGGCATGTTTTTCAAGCATCCAAGTTCCTCGAAGCGCCATTTTCACTTGCGAGGTAACATGGCTTGCCACGTTGAGAAGCATCACATACAGAGCGAATATGCCTATAGTGGCTGTGAGCCTTTGGCCGGTATTATATGACTATCTCGTGAGATTATGGACAGTGTGCCCCTATGTCATAGATTATTCTGAAAATATCCAATACTTCACTGCCCGAGAGACGATATGAAAACAACCCAGGTTCCCACACTCCCAGACTATCCGAGGACGCAGACAACGACCGACGACGGATGATGGACGGCGGACGACGGGGGAG